TCAGAAAAATAGTGTTCTGTTTCATATTTTAACTCATTTATGGATAGTAACTTAATAGTTGCCTAAGAAGTGCTGTTAGGGTGTGTTTGATTGGGGAGTTTTGGAGGGGAGGGGAGGGGAGCCAAAATTTCCTTTCCCCTTCCCTCATATTGCTCCCTTCCAAGTTGGGGTTTTTTGGAGGGGAGCTAAAATTTCTGACAATCTTGCATTTCCTCAACAGCATTCCTCCACCGTGATGACTAGCTTATCAGACTCTTCCACCTTGGCATTCGAGTTGCAGTTCAATTAAGTGAGCCAGTGAATATAACATCTTCACCAATAGCAACCGTTCACATTTTTAAATCGATGGAAATAGAAGCTATAGATCTGAATGCAGTACCTTGGTTTTTTTGTTTTTTTTTTTTGGGGGGGGGGGAGCAATCTGATCGGCAGTGCTAGCTGAATCTGATGGAGCATGATAAATCCCATGGGGGGCACTGTCGTGATTTGAGGAGCCTCAGCTATCTGACAGAGTGAGTGAGGGGGAGAGAGCAAGAATGAGGGAGAGAGGGCGATGAGCGAGAAAGAAAGGGTGGGTTGAGAGTTGAGATGCTGAGGCCGGGAGAATGGAATGAGGAAGAGAATTTTTTTAATATTTAGAGGAAAGCATAAAATTAATAATACTGCAGATTTTGTAGTTAATATTTTTTCACACTTTCTAGCTAACATACATCGGTATAGATAATATATGGGTATGATAGTAAATTAGTTATTAGCTTCCCTCTCCTCCCCTCCTAAACTAAACAAAAGATCATTAAAAATCCCTCTCCTCCTCTGCCCTCCCTTTCAACAAAACCAAACAAGGTAACATAAAAACATTACTCTCCCCTCCCCTCAAACCAAACACAGTTTGTTATTGTAACTATAATTTCTGTTTTGTATATGATTGTTTTAATACAAATGTATGGCTTTTCCCATTTGATTACACCGTTATAAATGTTCATTTGAAGTATTCTCTTTCTTTCCTGTAAGGTTGTTAAAGTAGCAGATTTTGGAGTAGCTCGGTTCCTGAATCAGGGGGGAGTGATGACAGCAGAAACTGGAACATATAGATGGATGGCTCCAGAGGTTTGTGTTCTAGATATATCATTATGATTGCTTTTTGATATCTCAGTATATCAATAGGTGCTTGATGTGTTCATATTAGAGCGTAGGGTTCTAGGAGCAACTATTGGCCTTGTTGAGAAAGTCATCAATTATTCAAAGATAAGTCTTACAAATTAAGTGGGATTATTAAAGGATAAGGAATACTTTGAGAAAATCATCTCATCTTTATCTATAAATTAGCCATCCCTTATCTTTAGGAATCGTCATGGAAGTTTTTCTTTCTCATTTAGATTTATCCGGTTTAGTTTAAATGATAAAAGGAAGGTTAATTTGCCGTGTGAGCGCAGCAAGCCTTCCATGGACTGCGTTCCTGCATTAACTATAAACTAGATACCTTGCTTAATACATGGGATAGATAATTGCTTAAAAGATTTTGAATGATTTGCATTTATTTTTAAATATTTAAAAAGATTAGGAAAACAAGGTTACACTGAACCCAAGGAGAGATATGTTCATGACTTATGAATAGTATAAGTTTTACTAAATTTTATATTTGATATCGATATTGATTGCAAGGCATTGTTTTCTTTCTCATTACCAAATAATTTAAATAGAATTGGGAGAAATTATTCCAAAGTTCTAGGACGCCCCTCAATTTTTGCCAAAAATTTTGAAATGTCATTCCCAAGGGAACACTGCTGGACGGTGGAGAAATAAATGGGGAAACTTCTGAGGCCAAAATACTTATTACAGACATTTAGCAGAAAGAGCCATATGGGGTCAACATATCATTGGTGTTTACATTCTTTTATATCCCTCACTGTCCCCCTAAGCCAGAAACAAACAGTACAAGTAATTAAAAAACTGAACACTCGGATCTGTGATGTTATATTTTTCTCTCTTTCTGGGTTTTCTTTCTCCATCTCACTGATATCAAATTTTCTCTCAAGGTTATAAACCATCAACCCTATGATCAGAAAGCTGATGTATTCAGTTTTTCCATAGTACTGTGGGAACTAGTAACTGCAAAGGTATAGCATAAATTACAATGATATAATTTTTATTCTCTTGTATTACTCTTCCATTCCTTGTACACTGATTTTCGACATCAAGGACACTACTAAAAACAAAATATGGTCATGTATGGTATTCAGGTGCCTTATGATGCCATGACTCCGCTACAAGCTGCGCTAGGTGTGAGACAGGTTTGCTCTCTGTTCAAATAAAACTCGAATGTTTGATCACAAAGTTTAGTAATACAATTGAACCCTCTTATTGGTGTGAATCTGCATGACTACGCTATATCAACTCTGGAAAAGTGACAATTAAGTTATTACTTATGCCCTCATATTGAAGCGCATCTTTTCTTGGGCTATGCCTTTGTGAACTTTGAAATGAAAATGATTGAATCTAATATATTATCGATCAGGAGTGCACTGGGATTCTACAATTCAGTTGGTATACAACAAGGAGTGTGTCATTGTGTCTGACGCAACAGTGATTTACATCCTTTCAGGGGTTACGCCCAGAACTTCCAAAGCAAGGGCACCCTAAACTAATAGATTTAATGCAAAGATGTTGGGAAGCAATTCCAGCCAACCGGCCATCCTTCGCTGAGATAATAGTTGAACTGGAAAATCTCCTTAAAGAAGTCGGGGTAAACATCAATAGCTACATTTTATGACACGTTATTCCATCTTTTTTCCATATGGTAAAATTTCACTCATTCATCTGGCTTTATCTAAATTTCTGCTGTCCAAATTGCAGAATGATTCAGAAACTAACGGTGCTTGAGATAAGCATAACATATTAGATTGCAGTTATCTTCAGGCAGTTACACGAGAATCTGGATTTTTTATTTTCCACTTTCTTTGGGTGTTCAAATAGATAGAGTTTTTCATTTCCCCTTTTTGCTCGAGGGAGAAAGGAGTTAACAGAAGCTGACCGATACAGAAGTGACAGACTGTATAGAGACAGACTAATGATATAGTTGATAATACTTAGAAATATATATATTCCGCGCTGGTTGATGCAAAACCTTTACCGTGAAGTTGTTTTGACAAAGAGGAATATGTTACCTGCGTTTATTGGAATGATTTTTCTGGTAAACCTACTATACCCCAATTGGAACAAGCAATATCAATGAAGGAAATCAGAGCTTTATTTATTTGAGGCTTGATGATTTATTGTATATAAACAATAGGTGTTCAGCACTGAGGTGAGGGTCCTTTTATTCTCTGTTTCAATGACTTGAGGTGTTATCTTTCTTTTGATCCTGTAAAGTGTTCATTAATCATTACTTTAGAGTTATGCAGTCAATTTTTGTATGATGATCAAGTGAGAAAATAACTGACCATCATTTTGCTTCAACTTTTGGCTGTTTCCTCTTTTCCTTGCCTTATTTGATTATATTCTTTTTTCCCCCTTGTCGTATAGTTTTGTGATACTTGTTTTTGTTACACAAATAGGCTTTTTATTTCCAGAAAAATTCTTTATTAGAGGAGGGCAGAGCATATTTGTAAGAGAGAATGGATCGATATTTAGTGGTCATTTTAATATCTGCCCTGAATGGTCATGTCTATATTTAATTTTGAAATGAAATCAATATTTTTGTTGCTCAACCATGCATGTACATTTATTGCATGCGAACTCTCTTAGAACGTTAATAAAATATCAATTACTTTTCTCCCTATAGTCAATATATTTTTGTATAAAATGTACATCACGCGCTCCACTCACGCATCAATGATTTTTCCAACTAAACTCATTTCACTTTGTAAGTATGGCTTTTATTCTTTTCCTTCTTCCGCATTACCAGGCAACGATATCATGTTAGTTGTTTCTGAGTAAGAAGTCTAACTCAGCTATTTATTTGATAAAAATTGTTTCTGCAGGCTGTAAGCGGCGCTGCTGTTTGCCTGCTTCTTTTATTAAAGTATGTTATACAAATATTTCATCAATAATCTGTAACCTAATTTCTAATCTCTGCGAAACAACGTTTGATATTTTAAGTTGGTTCTCCACTTTTGCATGCAAAAATCCAGTGACCATTTTTAATGAAATTCCGAATTGGAGAAAATATTAACTTAATTTGAAGACTTAAGTCTGTTTTTCCTCTTTTTTGGTCGTATAGATATTTACAAGTTGATGGAAAGAAAGCTTTCCTTGAATTTCTCCATAACTGGAGGTTAATTAATTTGAACCTAAAATTTGAAACATTTTTCAACATATACGGAAACAGATCGAGCTAAGAAAGTTAGTCTTAGTGCTAATTAGTGATTGTGTTAAGACTAGTAAAGAATTGAATAAAATGAACATTATAACATTCCAAAACTATTTTGAAGTAAAAACAATGAGGTGAGGATCTTTATATAGAATACAACCCCTTGTCTTGAGGGAGGATACAACGCCCCCCCCCCCAACTTCTAACACTTTGTGGCACCCTTTATATAGAATATAGGATCACCAACTAACTAATGTGATTAACACTAACCACACTAACACTTTAATAGTCCAACAGATTGAGTATTTCAATTAGGTACCAAATCTAAAAGTGTATTAATATTGGGAATTTGTTTCAATTTTTCAACAATGTTTGTGGCCCCCTTTATATGGAATATAGGATCACCAAATAACTAATGTGATTAACACTAATCACACTGACACTTTAATAGTCTAACAGACTGAGTATTTCAATTGGGTACCAAATCCAAAAAGTGTATTAACATTGGAATCTGTTTCAATTTTTCAACAATGTTTGTTATTGATGTTGATTGTCATGAAGAAAGTTATAATACCCATATGATGAAGTTACATGGTGTTTTAACGCTGATAATACTTGAGAGTTTACAATAATTGAACAACCGGATAAAAAAAAAGGACACTTGAAATTTGGAATGTCAAGACATAGCAAGAGAGAGGAAATTATGATATTATTATTATTATTATTATTATGATAGGTTGGTTTTCAAAAACCTGTGCAAAGGCAGCAGGTTGAAAACTACAACAAAGCATGCATATGCATGCACGTGATATACACTGATTTGTACTTCATAAGCAAGGGCGTGAACCACCCCAATGTAGTGATGCACCAAACGTAAAATGCCATAAACTAAATTGATGACAGTGTGAATTTCTCAACATATATAAGGGGAAAAAAAACAAAAACATGGAGTGAATTGAAAGATGGAAGCCATGCAAAGCCAGGTATTCTAGTAGTAGTAAGGAGGAGGTGGTGGTGAAGCATAGACATAGGGCTTGTGGGGTGGCGGATAAATAGGGTTTGGGATAGGGGAAGGAGAAGGAGCAGGAGAGTGATGCGGTGGATGGCTTGGGGATGGAGAAAGCGGTGGCGGAGGGGGAGCACCGTATGAAGGGCTTGGCACCGGAGAAAGAGGAGTGGCGGGAGGAGGAGCACCATGTGAAGGGCTTGGGGCAGGAGAAAGAGGAGTGGCGGGAGGAGGACCACCGTGTGAAGGGCTTGGCGCCGGAGAAAGAGGAGTGGCTGGAGGAGGAGCACCGTGTGAAGGGCTTGGCGCCGGAGAAAGAGGAGGAGGATATGAAGGGGTTGGTGGTGGAGAAGGAGGTGGAGAGGGGACTTCAGATCCACTATCCTTAGGTGGAGGTGCAGGGTACACTGGTGGAGGCGGCGCGGAAACCGGTGGTGGAGGAGAATGGTGGTGCTTGGGAGGCGGAGGAGATGAGTAGACGTAGCGGTCGGCGCATATTTGAGAAGGCAAGCTGACAGACACTAAAGCGATTAGAAGTGTGAGGGAGGCCATAAGGGATCCCATTTTTGCTTTTGCAATGTGTTTAATTTGTTGGTTGTGCTTTTTCGGGAGAAAGAGACTCCCTTTATATAGCCTCTTTGTTCACCCTGCCCCACAAGTATGATCATATCTTGGAATAATTCACTTCGAACTAGTAGAAAATGATTACGTAGCTTGTAGCCACCATTTGATTTCTCCGTGATTGGAGGTTAATGAATTCGAACCTAAAATTTAAGAAAGTTTCAACACAAGGAAAACGATCGAGCTGATAAATTAAGTACTAGTTAATGATCTGATCAGTATTGAGTATTCATTCAGGTATATATCAATTCCAAATAAACTTATAATTGGGCGTCTGATTTTCAACAATATATAATGTTTATTGATGTTGATTATTATATATAAAGAACAACATGACAGTATGACAGCCATGATGGGGTAATATAGTTAAGGATACATTTACCACAGAATATTGCTGGAATATTAATGTGTTAGGGTGTAATTAGTGTTAATTACATTTGTTAGTTGGTGATCCTATTTTTTATATAAAGGAAGCCACAAAGTGTCAAGGGTTAGGGGGTTGTATCCAACCTCAAAAGGACTAAGGTCCTCACCTCATTGTTTTTACCTCAAAGTAGTTTTGAGGTTTATCTTTCATATGAAGGATTATGTTATTGTAATGTTTAATAATAATCATCTTCATGAATGTTCATTTTATTCTCTCCATTCAATTCTTTAATTCATTAACAAATACTTCCTCTACTAAAAATGTAAGCAATTTTTTGAGAAATTGGGTGTTAAAAAATATAAGGTATTTTTGATATTTCAAGGTATAATCATTACATCATTTCTGAAAGTGTTTTTATTGAATAATTATTTTATATTTATTTTAGAGTAAAACACTCTATTATATAAGGATAAATATAAAAATATAGTGTTAGTTTGAAGATAAATAATTATTTTATTGGAGTGACATTTAATTAAAAATGAATTATATTTTTTAACGGAAGGAGTATAAATAAAAATAGTTTATTTTTCAATAAATATAATTTGAATAAATCTGTGAAGATGAAAGAAAGAAAGAAAAATAAAGAGAATCATATTCAAGAACTTAACAAAAAAATTATTCATAAAAAAGATTAATATGAAATGGATTATTGTTAAAATAAAAATATGAACTTGTTTGTTATTCAATGAGCCTTGATATTAATTATTATCTGTGAATAGAGACAGGCCCACATTTGGTATAGTAAGAGCAATTGTCTCCGCAACTCAAAAAATAAATTACTCAGGATGTCCCTAAGTAATTTTAATTGCCCCCCTCCCCCAAAAAAAATTTCAAGCCCCCTCATTTCAAAAAAATTTTACTTATCCCCTTATAAAATTGTATCTCACTAGAGAATTTATTATTTGAAACTATAATATATATATATATATATATATATTAAAATGAAAAAGTAATAATTTAAAAAAATTGTTCATGTAATTTTTTTTTTTTTGCGAGAAACTTTCAGACATGCAGTCTCCTCATTTCCGTATCATCATTTTCCCTAATTGTAATCATGGATTAGCAAAATGGAGAAGAAATGATGATAAAGAAATGAATGATGACAAAGAAATGGAAAGATTGCATGTGCAAAATTCTCTAGCAAACAAGAAAGGTATATAGATTTTAATGAAAATTAAAAAACATGATTAAAATATATATATATATATAAATTGTTTTTTGATGTTATCATATTGTTATGTTTTATTACTTTATGTGTTGTTTTTAATATTTAATTTTATTAACTCATCATAAATTTAATCATATTTTTGGATGTGATTCTCCAAGAAAATAAAAGGGGAATCAATTCTGAACATAGCAAGCTTCCAACCCCAAACGGTTATCACTTGGAACAATTGCAAATGATAATACAGAAGACCTTATAATTAGGTATGTCCTTGATTAATGATAATTAATGTTATAAGAGGAGGATGTGTTCAAAAAGTGTAGAAAAAGGAGATCGAAAAGTTATTCTGACATTGTCTTGGCTCACCACTCACCGTATATGCTCTTTAATTGGAAACCTATTAATGAATTTCTTTACCAATTTTATCAGAACACTCATGTCTCACCTGTTATATGGTTTATTTTTTATGTTTTCTTTTTTAATGAAAAGACTTCTCCAAAAAAGTTGAAAACACCGAGAGAAAGTGTGATCAACTTTAGCATGTCATTAGTCATGACACATTACGCAGAGAGTTTTTAGATCTTTCCTTAATTTGAATCTTGTCCATAATTTTTTTATAGTTTATGGAATGGCCTGTATATATATAAATAGTTTTTGGACTGACAGATGTTAGTGACTCAAGTCGATGAGAATATTTCTACTTTGGTTGTCAATGTATGACATCAAATGGAAGGGAATGAAAGTCTTGTGCAAATATTAGAATCCAATCTAGTTTATAATTTGAAGTGTCGATTGTCATGTGCGGGGACAAATTTGATTTGACAAGCTAAGTGTATTAATGATACCTATGAAGCTTCTATATAATGTCGAATAGGGTTTTTTTTTTTTTACTTTGCGAATTGGCACGAGGTACAGGTTAGCGTAAGGTCATTATCCATATATAATATGAAGATTTTGAATGTAATTTTCATCTTTTTAAATATACACACTGCCAATTAATCGTAACCATTGAAGGGAATTGAGCAGGTTTCTTCATCCTTCATTGTGCTTATTTTTCCAGCAATGTATTTCCATTAATCGTACCAAACAAATTGGAAACAACAATTGATGAAATCTGGAGTGTCAAGACACAGAGTAAGAGAGAGAAAATTATGATATTATTATTATGACAGGTTGGTTTTCAAAAACCTGTGCGAGGGCGGCAGGTTGAAAACTACAACAAAGCATGCATATGCATGCATGTGATTTTATACTGATTTGTGCTTCATAAGGGAGTGCATGAACCACCCCAATATAGTGGCACACCAAACATACAATGACACATAAACTAAATTGATGACAGTGTAAATTCCTCAACATATATAGGGGGAAAAAACCAAAAACATGGAGTGAATTGAAACATGGAAGCCATGCAAGCCAGGTATTCTAGTAGCGGTAAGGAGGAGGTGGTGGTGAAGCATAGACATAGGGCTTGTGGGGCGGCGGATAAATAGGGTTTGGGATAGGGGAAGGAGAAGGAGCAGGAGAGTGATGCGGTGGATGGCTTGGCGATGGATAAAGCGGTGGCGGAGGGGGAGCACCGTGTGAAGGGCTTGGCGCCGGAGAAAGAGGAGTGGCGGGAGGAGGACCACCGTGTGAAGGGCTTGGCGCCGGAGAAAGAGGAGTGGCCGGAGGGGGAGCACCGTGTGAAGGGCTTGGCGCCGGAGAAAGAGGAGGAGGATATGAAGGGGTTGGTGGTGGAGAAGGAGGTGGAGAGGGGACTTCAGATCCACTATCCTTAGGTGGAGGTGCAGGGTACACTGGTGGAGGCGGCGAGGAAACCGGTGGTGGAGAAGAATGGTGATGCTTGGGAGGCGGAGGAGACGAGTAGACGTAGCGGTCGGCACATATTTGAGAAGGCAAGCTCACAGACACTAAAGCCATTAGAAGTGTGAGAGAGGCCGTAAGAGATCCCATTTTTGCTTTTGCTGTGTGCTTAATTTGTAGGCTGTGCTTTTTTGAGAGCAAGAGACTCCCTTTATATAGCCTCTTTGTTCACCCTGCCCCACAAGTATGATTGATCATATCTTGGAATAATTCACTTCGAATTAGTAGAAAATGATTACGTAGCTTGTGGCTACCATTTGATTTCTCCGTGATTGGGGGTTAATGTATTCGAACCTAAAATTTAAGAAATTTTCAACACACGAAAAAAGATCAAGCTGATACATTAAATACAAGTTAACGATCTGATCAGTATTGGGTATTCATTCACGCATCAATTCCAAACAAACTTATAATTGGGCAACTGTTTTTCAACAATATATAATGTTTGTTGATGTTGATTATTATATGTGAAGAACAACATGACACCCATGATGGATTAATATAGTTAAGGATACATTTACCACTCGTTGGAATATTAAAGTGTTAGCGAGTAATTAGTGTTACGTTAATTACATTAGTTGGTGATCCTATATTTTATATAAAGGAAGCTACAAAGTTAGGGGGTTGTATCCAACCTCAAAAGGACTAAGGTCCTTACCCCATTGTTTTTACCTCAAAGTAGTTTTGAGGGTTGTCTTTCACATGAAGGATTATGTTATTGTAATGTTTAATAATCATTATCCTCATGAATGTTCAATTTATTCTCTCTATTCAAGTCGTTACTTCCTTAACAAATACTCTCTCAATTAAAAAATATAAAATATTTTTTAAAAGGTTGAGTATTAAAAAATATAAGATATTTTTAATATTTTAGAGTATAATTATTGCGTCTTTCTTAAAAGTGCCTCTATTAAATAATTAATTTATGTTTATTTTAATGTGAAACACATTATTACATAGGGATAAATATAGAAAAACAATATTAATTTGAAGAGAAGTAACTACTTTATTAAGGTGAAATTCGATTAAAAGTACCTTACATTTTTTAACGAAGGGAGTATAAAAAAAATTAGTTTATTTTTCAATGAACATAATTTGAATAAATTTGTGAAGGTGAAAGAAGGAAAAAAAATTATGAGAATTACATCCAATGGCTTGGCAAGAAATTTATTTATAAACAAAGACTAAAACGAAATGAATTGTTATTAAAATAAAAATATGAACTTGTTTATTATTTAATGAAACTTGTTATTAATTAATTTTTGTTAATAGGCATAGACCCACGTTTGGTATAGTGGGGGCAATTGACTCCACAACCCAAAAAAAAAAAAAACAAAAAATTACTTAAGATGGCGCTAAGTAACCTTAACCGCCCCCTTCCCCCGAAAAAGAATTTCAACTACCCCTTGTTTCCAAAAATTTTACTTATCCCCTTACAAAATTGTATATCACTAAAAAATTTATTATCTAAAGCTATATATATATTAAAATGGAAAAGTAATAATTTGGAAAAGAATTTGCTTATGTAAAAATTTTTTTACAATAAATTCTCAGAGATGCAATCTCTTCATTTCCTTATCATCATTTCCCTGCACTTCCCTAATCTTAGTCATGGATTAGGAAAGTGGAGGGAAAATGATGATATGAATAGATTTTATTTAATGAAAATTAAAAAAATTGATTATAATATATATAAAAAAATTGTTTATGTAAAGAGAGTTTGATGTTATCATAATGTTATGTTTTATCACTTTATGTGTTGTTTTTAATATTTAATTTTATCAACTCATCATAAATCTAATTATATATATTTAAAATTATTTTTTATAAAAATATAAATATTTATTTTAAGTATGGCTTATGTCCCGCAAATAATTTTCTTGTCAGATTTTTGGATGTGATTATTCCAAGAAAATAAAAGGGAATCAATTCTGAACATAGCAAGCTTTCAACTCCAAACGGTTTCCACTTGGAACATTTGCAAATGATAAGATAGAAGGCCTTATAATTAGGTATGTCCTTGATTAATGATAACTAATGTTATAAGAGGAGGATGTGTTCCAAAAGTGTAGAAAAAGGAGATCGAAAAGTTATTCTGACATTGTCTTGGCTCACCACACACCGTATATGCTCTTTAATTGGAACCCTATTAATGAATTTCTTTACCAATTTTATCAGAACACTCATGTCTCACCTGTTATATGGTTTATTTTTTCTGTTTTCTTTTTTAATGAAAAGACTTCTCAAAAAAAGTTGAAAAAACCGAGAGAAAGTATGATCAACTTTAGCATGTCATTAGTCATGACACATTATACAGAGAGTTTTTAGATCTTTCCTTAATTTGAATCTTGTCCATAATTTTTTTATAGTTTATGGAATGGCCTGTATATGTATAAATAGTTTTTGGATTGACAGATGTTAGTGACTCAAGTCGATGAGAATATTTCTACTTTGGTTGTCAATGTATGACATCAAATGGAAGGGAATGAAAGTCTTGTGCAAATATTGGAATCCAATCTAGTTTATAATTTGAAATGTCGATTGTCATGTGCGGGGACAAATATGATTTGACAAGCTAAGTGTATTAATGATATCTATGAAGCTTATATATAATGTCGAATAAGGTTTTTTTTTTTTTTTTTACTTTGCGAATTGGCACGAGGTACAGGTTAGCGTAAGGTCATTATCCATATATAATATGAAGATTTTGAATGTAATTTTCATCTTTCTAGATATACACACTGCCAATTAATCGTAACCATTGAAAGGAACTGAGCAGGTTTCTTCATCCTTCATTGCGCTTATTTTTTCACTTCAATGTATTTCCATTAATCGTACCAAACAAATCGGAAACAACAGTTGATGAAATCTGGAGTGTCAAGACACATAGTAAGAGAGAGAAAATTATGATATTATTATTATGACAGGTTGGTTTTCAAAAACCTGTGCGAGGGCGGCAGGTTGAAAACTACAACAAAGCATGCAGATGCATGCATGTGATATACTGATTTGTACTTCATAAGCGAGCGCATGGACCAACCCAATATAGTGGCACACCAAACATACAATGACACATAAACTAAATTGATGACAGTGTAAATTCCTCATCATATATAGGGGGAAAAAACCAAAAACATGGAGTGAATTGAAAGATGGAAGCCATGCAAACCAGGTATTCTAGTAGTGATAAGGAGGAGGTGGTGGTGAAGCATAGACATAGGGGTTGTGGGGTGGCGGATAGATAGGGTTAGGGATAGGGGAAGGAGAAGGAGCCGGAGAGTGATGTGGTGGGTGGCTTGGCGGTGGAGAAAGCGGTGGCGGAGGGGGAGCACCGTGTGAAGGGCTTGGCGCCGGAGAAAGAGGAGGAGGGGTGTGTGAAGGGGTTGGTGATGGAGAAGGAGGTGGAGAGGGGACTTCAGATCCACTATCCTTAGGTGGAGGTGCAGGGTACACTGGTGGAGGCGGCGAGGAAACCGGTGGTAGAGGAGAATGGTGATGCTTGGGAGGCGGAGGAGATGAGTAGACGTAGCGGTCGGCACATATTTGAGAAGGCAAGCTCACAGACACTAAAGCCATTAGAAGTGTGAGAGAGGCCGTAAGAGATCCCATTTTTGCTTTTGCTGTGTGCTTAATTAGTTGGCTGTGCTTTTTTGAGAGCAAGAGACTCCCTTTATATAGCCTCTTTTGTTCCCTCGTTTTACCCCACAAGCATCATTGATCATATCTTGGAATAATTCACATTGAACTAGTAGAAAATGATTACCTTGTAGGACCTTTGGTTTCCTCCGTGATTGGAGGTTAATGAAGTCGAACCTAAAATTTAAGAAAGATTCAACACACGAAAAAAGATCAACCTGATAAATTAAGTACAAGTCAATGGGCCGATCAACATTGAGTATTAATTCAGGTATCATTTCTAAAGAAACTTTAATAATTGGGTTGGGCATCTTTGTTTTTCAACAATAATGTTTCCTATTGATGTTGACCAGCGGCGGAGCCACATGGGAGGCCCTCACATGGAGAAAATTAGAAATGGGGAGTGTGTAAAATTTACAATCTTGTACCCTAGTTTTAGAATTTTGAATAATAAAATCCAACAACATCAAATTAAGTCATTTCTTTGGGATAAAAGTTCTCTTTTCTTTCAAACTTAAATTCTATATCAATTTTTTAACACATTTTTGCCCAAACAAATCTTCAACGTATTTTTTTCCTGTATAAAAATATTCATAATTTTATTTATGTTGTTATATTTTTTGTCTATTCTAATTATTTTTTAAAATTAGTATATTATTCTTTAAATATTAATTTTTAAATTGAATTATCTCGCACCCCTGACTCAGAGTCCTGATGCCGCTGCTGATGTTTACTATTAATATAAAGAAAAACGTGACGCCCGTGATGGTGTAATATAGTTAAGGATACACTAACGACTGAATATAAATAAAGATAGTTTATTTGTCAATTAATGAACATAATTTGAATATATCTGTGAAGATGAAAGAAAATAAATGGGGAATCAATTCTCAACATAGCAGGCTTCCAACCCCAAACGGCTATCACGCGGAACGTTTGCAAATGATAAGATAGAAGACCTTATAATTAGGTATGCCTTTGATTAATAATAATGTATTAAGAGGAGGCTGTGTTCCAATGTGTTCCAAAATTATAGAACAAGGAGAAAAGTTATTTTGACATTGTCTTGACTCACCACCGTACACAGTATATGCACTTTAATTTGCATCCTATTATAATGTGTTTGGATTAATAGGAATTTAAGATTTGAATTTGAACCAAATCTCTTATTTAGATACATAAAAAATTATGGATTTAGATTTAATCCATCTCTTCTTTTAATTCTTTTATAATTTCAAATTCTTTTTACATCATAATCATTTGCAATTTCAATCACCTCTAATATTTTGTTTTCTTTGCCTTTTCATTAATATTGATATTATTATGATAACTCTAGTATCTTTTCTCATTTTTCATTATTATCTCTCATTGATTAAAAAATAAAAGTAAATTCATCACTCGTAATTTTCTGTGTTTGTTTCAAATTTCAACTTATTTATCTTCTTCATTTGAAACTTTTAAACTATTCAAATAAAATATTTTAAATATATGAATTTGATATTTAATATTTAAAATATAATATTTTAAATCCAAAATCTAAACCTAAATTCACTCATTCAAACACTGGCTTACTGTTTTGCCAATTTTAACAAACTCGTGTTTCACCTGTTACTTATATGGTTTTTTTTTTCCCTGTTTTCTTTTTTAATGAGAAGACTTCTCCAAAAATGTTGAAAAAACCAAGAGAAAGTGCGGTCAACTTCAGCATGTCATTTATCATGACACACTACACAGAGTTTTCGGACCTTTCCTACATTACCCATGTTTGATGAGAATATTTTTACTTTGGTTGCTAATGTATAATATCAAACGGAAGGGAATAAAAGTCTTGTACATATATTAGAATCCAATCTAGTTTAAAATTTAAAGTGTTGATTGTCATGATGTAGGACAAATATGATTTGACAAGCTAATTAGCTAAGTGTGATGATACCTATGAACAATGACCCACCCAGAAAAAATTATTAGAGGGGGCAAAATTTATATTAAATATTAATATTTTTGAAAAAATATAATTCTAAATATTAATTAAAATAATATATATATATACACATTATATGAGAAGTTAAAATATATATATATATATATTAATGCCATTTGTATCATAAATTTATTTTTATAATAAATATAAGAGTAAGTAATATTTTTAAATATGTATGCTTGGCAATTTTAAAAAGTGTGTGGAGAAATTAAATTTTTAGAGCAGCAATTGTAATTTTAACTAAAACTTAGGAATTTTTTTTTTTAATGGGGACAACTTCCCCTTTCCTTATGTAACATGGGTGCGTCCCGTCCCTACCAATGTAGCTTAGTCTTATAATGTTGAATAGAGATTTTTTTTTTGTTTTTTTTTTCCTTTGCAAATTGGCACGAGCTAAAGTTAGTGTAAGTTCAAAGTAGCTAGTTAGTCGGAATACGTACTCCGATTATTTTACACGGTCTAACTAACTATTTTTCTAAGATTAGAGAAATTAATTAAATGTACTTTTTTTTAACAAATTTTAAATTTCCTCTCAATTCAATTAAACTTTATTTAAGTTAATAGTGAAGAAAACAAGGGCATTTTTAAAACAAATCACAAATATGACATCAAAATTTATAAGGTGTTTTACTAATGACCAATAGATGTGGTCTTATGGGGTTTTGAAGAAACATATAATGGATCATCGGGTGAAATCAACCTTCAACCTTGTTCCTTAATTAAACAAATTCAAAGTCCGTATCTTGGTGGAATATGATTGTTTTGGAATTTGGATGCGTTAATGTCAGAACCGTGATCTTGTAATGCCACATTCGGTATGCTGGAATTATGAGCGTGGACGTGAATTTTATTGTGTGCCAGGATTTTTGGTGTAGTGATCTTGTAATAATCTCTCAAAATGGCATGAAATAGATTCCATCTTATAGGCGCAACAACATACTTGAGGATTGAGTGATTGGTTCAATCTTACAAATGGACAGGGTCAATTATAATAGTTAAATAATTCAGAGTATTTGAGATGTCAAACTCACACGAGGTTAAGTCTTACCAATCATATTAAATTTAGTCCTAATACGCTATATAATAATTAAATGAAAATAATAATTTATAAAATTTACACTGATCACTGAGATTCCAATTAGGAACTGAAGTTTCGTGACATTTTCGCTCTCACGCACGAACCGATATTCACGACTAAATTGCTCTAATCGCTGTCAAGGATCTGAGGTATCTTCATTCCTCATTGAACTTATTTCCACTTTAATGTATTTCAATCGTATCCCAAAAAAAAAAAAGGATACAAAATTGAAATCTGGAACATGAAGACAGAGTAAGAGGGAGGAAATTTAATATTGATATTATTATTATTATAGCTTGGTTTTCAAAAGCCTGTGCAAAGGCAGCAGGTTGAAATCCAACAACAAAGCATACAGATGCATGTGTGCTACTGATATATCACAAGCGAGAACACGGACCATCTCAATATATGGCGCCACACCAAACACTAAGTGACATAAACTAAACTGAGACTTTAAATTTCTCAGTGTATATGTAAGAAAAAACCATAGAGTAAATTCAAAATCACCCCCCATAAAGATCGATGCAAGCCATGCAAAGCCAGTATCTAGTAGTAGTAGGGAGGTGGTGGTGAAGCGTAGACATATGGCTTGTGAGGTGGCGGATAGATAGGGTTAGGCCCAGGGGAGGGAGAAGGAGCAGGAGAGTCTTGTGTTGAAGGGCTCGACGCCGGAGAAAGCGGCGGAGGAGGAGACCGAGGCACTGGAGGGGGAGCACCGTACGAAGGGCTTGGCGACGGGGAAAGAGGAGTAGGCGGCGGCGGCGGCGGAGGAGAAGGACGATGTTCTGGTGGAGGAGGAGATGAGTAGACGTAGGGGCGAGCGCATAGTTGAGGAGGCAAGCTCATAAACACTAAAGCCAATAATACAAGTGTGAGAGAGGCCATTAGAGATCCCATTTTGCCTTTCCAATGGACTTTGGCTGTGCTTCTTCAGGAGCAAAGCTCCCCCTTTATATAGTTTCTTTGTTTGCCAGTTTTACCCCACAAGTACGTACTTAATTAATCACGTCTTGGTAAATTCACTTTGATTACCTTGTTTTGAAGTATATCCTGAAATTATTCAATGAACTTATTTTTTCCGATGAATAGCTTCTTGAGTTGGACCACAGGACCCAAGGGGGACTGGAATTGACCTCTGATTTAAGAAGTTGTTCTGATTGAAACTATCAGAAGTATCTAAAAGTTAGGCAGCTTTAATTTCTGAATATCATAGTTTTTCTAACCAAAACAGAAATGAAAGGATTTCTTCATGCCTTGTTGAGCATCAAGTGACGCTGGTATCGTCCCTCATTTAGCTTGAATTTGAGAAAGAGGTATACTCATATTCATACTCATAACTCCTTTGTAGTTTAAGAATGTACAAAATCGAAAATCCACTTGCATATAGAAAAGAAGAAGTTGCTTGATCTCCTAGTTTTTATGTCAAACTGATATATGTGAATATGTTTAAATAAAAAAGTCCATCTCAAATGACTAGTTTAAAAGAGAGTCCTTTCAACTTATAACTATGATGAGTCTTCTTGATGTAAAACGATCTTATCATAGCTATAAAACTTTCATATTCATACTCATAACACAAACATGTACGTACAGGAACTGAATGGAATCTCCATATTTGGCTTTTCTTCTTTTCAATTTCTCTCTTGGCGACGGTGTCATCCCTTGATTTTGGGGTAGTAATATATCAAAGTCTTTATTATACAAACAATTCTAGCAATTATCTACAATTTTTCATATTTGAAATAAAATTTAATCTTTCAAAATGCTACTTAATTTACTCTTGCATGAAAAAACAGTGATGATTCAATGAAAAATTAAATTGCAGAAAATATTTGTTGCTTTTTAGAACTCCAGTCTGCAGCTTTTTTTTTTTTTTGGTTGGATGCAAACTTTCTATATTAAACATGAAAAAAGAAAAAATCTTACCTAGAATTACATTTCTCCGTGATTGAGGTTAATTGATCCGAACATAAATTTTCAGCAACTTATTAAATTTGGGAATCTGTTCCAAGTTTCAACAATTGTGTTTGCAATTGATGTTGAATGTTGATATGCCAATGTGACTTGCGGCGATTTGCCGAGAAGAAACAAGAGGTGTCAAAAGGAAATGGAGAGTAGGGAGTAAGTGATAGAAATATCATTCAAAATGGACTGTTGAATGTTGATAGCCGCACGAGCAATCAAGTGTCTTGGGGATGCAATTGATGCACCAAGTTCTCCACTTGGTCTGTCCATGCCAATCCGTCTAAAAACGACCTGTACTAATTGGGCCCAATTTTCATTGCTTGTGGACCCAACTAGCAAACACCGTCTCTATCCACATCCAACTTATGAACTGGTCATATTTTTTATAAGTCACTAATTATTTTCTTTTAATTTTATCCTTTCATAATTTTCTATAAATAAAATAAAATGTTATATACAGGAGATCAAATATGCTTTTAAAAATGATACATTGAATCAAGATAAGCGGAGAAATCTCAAGTAGGATAAAATTGAATTTAATATATTACATATAATGAGATGAAAAAGTTTATAAACTCCAACTTTAAAAATTTTGAATTAAGACATTTTGTTGTCCACACTCGTAACAATCTTTTCTTTCTTTTAAATTTGTTACACATGAGCAGATGAGGATAAGTGGATAACATCCCTTGATTTTGAGGAGGAGGTAGAAGTGTACAACTTACACATGTTTACTCAACAGTGGCAATTTTAGGCATTTGAAAACTCTACTTCTGCTTTATTAAATTGAACATGCAAGCGTTTACAAACACCTGTACTAATGACCTGCAATTTATAATCTTGGGAACACTGTTTAATATTATTAATTAGAGCCGTGGAAAATTCCGATAGATGTCTCTTATGATTTTAGCTAACAAATTTGAAAAGCTTGGCCATATGGAAAGAGAGTGCTATTCAATTAGGTTTCAACTCCTACATTTAATTAAAATTCGGAACCTCTTAACCTCAAGTTTCAACAATGCTTATTACTGGCGTTGACTGTTTCAAAGGAAAATGACAACCATGATGGAGATATTCAGTTAATGATCCACTCACCAACCATCACGTATTGTGTGTGTGTTGAGGGAAACACGTAAACAAAAATTTATATGACTTCCTTAATTGTTTATATTAATGGTTTTAATTAATATCCATTATGATTGTTTTCTAAGTGAATATTTTATAATTAACTTCTGAATATTTACTTCTAATTAATAGAATACTAAAAACTCTCACACTCCGTTAAAACAGAGTCACCGAAAAAAAAAAGAAAAGAAAAATCCATCACAAATTGTGCTGTGATAAATTTTGTAATGATAAAAAATATTATATTATTAAGGAGAAATAATGATAGAAAAATTATTAAGTAAAAACCCATTAAAGTTTTTTTTTTTTTTAGCGTTTATAGCAATGCATTGCGTTATTGATACAGATACAGATACAGAGTATTACCTTAAACTTTTTTTTTTTAACCTTTTGAATAACAGTTACATTAATCCAAAAAGAGTACAAGATTAATCAGTTTACGTAATGCGTCCTACTCACACCTGCGTTACATTAAACTTAAAGTACCATATGCTCCATTCAAAAATATAAAGTATAATCATTACTTTTTTAAAAAATATTTTTATTGATTAATGACTTTATATTCATTATAAAATATTTAATAGAGATAATTATGAAAAGATAAAATTAGTTTGAAAGTAACTACTTTATTGAGAAGTGAGATTTAGTTAAAAATACTTTATATTTTTTAACGGAAGGAGTGTGAGTCATTATCGTCAAATTTGAATAATTTAAATTTCAGTTCAGGGGTATTACTGTAAGTTTACTGAAAACAATGATTGAAAATAAAAATAAAATCCAGATGATTCAAATAGGCCGTGCTTGTACCGCGGTAACAATTTAGGAACAAAAATATGCTCAAAGACAAAAGGAGTAATATATGTGTTGAAGGACGACATTGAAACTTGTAATTATTTTAGAAGATTAAAGATCAAATCTTCAATTTAAAATTAAATTTAGAACAAATCACGAGCATTGAGCAGTATGATATGATTAATCTCGAATTTATGCAATATATGAAAAATTCAATCAATTTTTCAATAGTTAGTTAGTAATTAATCTTATTCTTATGTCATTTAAGCCGATTTATTTGACGAAGAACAGAAATTAAATAAACCCGCGAAAATGAAAGAAACAAAACAAAAGGGGAATACCGGAATAGATTCTCTCTTATCATACCAAACTCACCAACCCAACGGGTCATGTGGGCCCATTTACAAAGAATAAGATAGTAGAAGCCTACAGGGGCCTTTCGTACGTCTCAGTTTTTTAATTAAAAAATTATTATTATTATTATTATTATTATTATTATTATTATTATTATTATTATGCTTTAATCTAATCTCGTCTGTTTCAAGGCCGAAAGAAAGATCTCATATGTCCAGTAGTGTTAGGACGACGAGATGGTGACATTCTTTGGCGTAATTTTATTTTACTCCCTCTGATACTATAGAAAAGATATTTTATCATGTATATTTATAAATTATATTATTAAATTTTTATGACAGTTTTTATTCTATTTATCCTCCATTAAATATTGGTAAGGAAAATTATATAAGTTTTAAAACACATATAATATCTTCATATCAAATTATAAAACACTTTTAGACAAAATTTCACACATCAATAAACCTCATTAAAAATACTTAACAACTTTATTTTTTTAAAATAAAAGTATAAAATTTTAAAAATACCTTTCATTTAATAACCTTAAATCTACACTTAGCATTAAATAAGGAAAGATAAAGAGTAATATTAGAATAAGTTTATTTAATAAAACTTTAATATTCTCAAGGCATTTTATATATTGGGAGGCCAAATTTTCTCCAAAAATATTTTATAATTTGAGAAATGGAGTATTTAATAAGAGTAAAATTAAAAACTTATTGAATTTTTTTGACAAAGTTAATGAATTTTATAATTTTCCTTAATTATGATGAAACATGTTGAAAATGACTTATAAATAAGACTAAAATGAGTATAGGTATTTGTTCACTGTTTCATTATTATGAGTATAGGTCTTGTTTGGTATGATAAAAGAGTTTTTGATAGAATCGGAATCGGAATCAGAATTGGAATTGGAATCAGAATCGGAATTGGAATTGAATTGAGTTTTAAAAGTGTGTGTGGTATGAAGATGGAATTATGATATAATTTTAATAAGTATATGTATTTAAAATATAAAAAATTAAAATACCCTTTATTTTATTTTTTAATGAAAAACTTAACAATAAAAAAATAAAGAATATACTTTTAAAACTCAAAATACCTTTTATTTTATTTTTTTTAATGACACATAAGCCAATTCCATGTTGAGTTGGTGGATTCCATGGTCTCTACAATGGAATTGGATTCCATCAATTTTGATGGAATCAGATTCCTTCAAGAAAGCAATTCTGGTGTACCAAACAAGCCAATTAAAGAATTTCATGTCCAATTTCATTTCCTTTTTTACAATTCTAATATACCAAACATGGCCTAAGTGAAGATTACAATTTGCATCTGATAAATTTGTGGACATATATTCCAACTTATTACTATTGTTTTATTAACTTTCATGAATCATTTGAAGATTATTAGTTTGATGAGAATATTTCTAACATAAAGTGACATGTTAAGTCGTGACTGAAGCCCTTCTAACCATTGGAATATTAGTCACAACTTAACAATAACTCAAAGGTTGATACAACAAACATTTAGTGGCGACTGTTAGATTTCTCGTAAGGACATCCAAAAGTCAACGTTTTGTAGTTTGTTGTTAATAATTCCAAATTAATTTACGAAGATTTTATGCAGTGTTTAAGAGCCATGATTTTTTTTTTCCTTGG